TTAGTATAGTACATTAGTAGTGTATTTAAAAATATGTGTTTTCATGAAATAGCTATTTGTTCAAGTTGTTATTGTATGTGAATCTCAAATTCTTTATGATATTTATATTGATTAAAAAAAACAACAACAATAATTATAGAAATATTAATATTTTAATACATTAAAAACAGTTTTTCAGATATTGGGTGTTAATTTTACTTTTGGAAATATTTTATGCATGTATTTTTTTAACATAATGTTAGATTATTTAGTATAATTCTATATATTTTGTTAAAGGTGCTAATTCACAATTGAGGAGTAATTTAGAATGTTATAGAACATAACTCTTTCAACTTGATTTGTTGTAGAACCTATTACATTCAACTTTATTTTTTACAGAACATATTTCATTTAAAATGATGTGTTATAGAACATATTTAATCCAACTTGATTTGTTATAGAACTTATTTTGTTCATCTTGATTTGTTTTAGAACATTAACATTATTATTTTGATTTATCTCTACAGGAATGATCCTTGCATAGTTTTCAATAAAAAATGCTCAAATGGTTCAGGTTTTAAACTAATCAAACTGCAGTAAAACCCTTATGTTACAAACTGTAATTAAAGTATGTGCTTATAAGAAAACATTTTATAGATAAATCAAAGCAGTGTACCTTTGGAATCATGTTAGCATACGAGATACTTTAGAAAGTGTACAAACAGACTCAAAATAGATAAAGTGCTGGTCTAAGGCACCGTTTATCCATAAAAAACATATTTGTGATGTGTCCAACTATGCCAAAATAATTTTATTACTTATAATGCATTGAGAATATTCATTTTAGCTCATTTGAGCGTAAAGTGTTAAGAGGTGTGATTTTGTGATGGCAACGTGTCTCTCATTCATTGTTGTCTATATTTTCTTTTAACAACATCTCAATTTAAGCTAATTTAAATATTTTGACCAAAACCTAACATGAATGACCCTGGGTGGCCCTGTACAAAATTAGTTAATATTATTTTAAAATCAAGTCCTCGCCTCAGAAGTTAATAGATCTATTATTTAAAAATCAAATCCTCTTTTCCTAAACAACATTGCTTAGGTATTTGTCATGTAACATCACCTTTTTGTCCTCTACAAAAGTGGTATGAGTCATGCTCCTGGGGTCAAATTGGCCGTCAAATCAGTGTCACTTGATATAGACTTATATTGTAAAGCATTCTTGTGTGATACTTCAATGCCTAGAGCTTAAATTTTTAGCATGTAGCATTGCCTTGTTGACATTTCATGAAATTAAAGTTATATTTGTAAGTTATTAATCATGCCCTGCTTGGTCAAAAGTGGCCCAATCTTTGGGTCACTCAGTAAAGTCTTATACAGTAAAAAATGTCTGAAAAATTATCTTCTCCGAATCTGCAATGGTCAGAGTAAAGATATTTGGCTTATATGATCACCTTGTGGTCCACTACAAATATTATATAAATCATTTACAAGGGTTCAAAATCTACCCTGCACAGGTGCTCAGTAGTATATAAAGACTTGTAAACACTTACAGTATTCTTGTGCCCAGAGTTTAGAAATTCGGTCATGTAGCATTGCATTGAGGGCCTTTTACAAAATATTGTGCATGGTCTCCTAAAACAGTGGTTACCTGGTTAGTATAGACATGACCCAGTGGTTACCTGGTTAGTATAGACATATAGTAAAATATGATCCAGCAGGATAAAAAATATAGCACCCAATGAGACCTTTTAACAAGAGTTGTGACCTTTTCTAGCAATTTATCTCAGGTGAGCAATCCAGGCCCATCTTGTTTCAACTTTTCATATGTTTCAATTTCTAAAGATTTATGTGGAAAATTTGTTTACTCAGTTGGAAGTCTCTTAATATTGTACTACAACACAAGCAAAAGTGGCATGTGTTTCTATTCTAACATGGTAAAAGAAAGAGGATTGATGAAAATTTGTTGAACCGCATTGACTGGAGAAGTTAAGTAATTTTCATGATGTCATTTGATTTTCTTGATGTGATATGACGTTTTTATTTGTATTGATGCACTGGACTACCCTATCTTATATTGAATAGTTAGAAGCATGTTATAATATAATATTATATATTTTTTTTTTAAATTGGATTTGTTAATTGTTATTGTTTTTTTTACCTTGATGTTAAAAATTTATATTTTATTAAACTTCCGGGAACAAGAGATCTGGTGGTGGTTTGTTAAGAATTTATTATGTTTTATTATTTCTTATATACTTTATATTTACATGCTCATGTTAGTTGTATAATTGTTTTTTTATATCTATTTAATTCATGCCATAATGATAACAAATAGGCTTTTCATTAATGTATATATTCACCTGGGGTCAAAAAGTAGGTCATCAGTTTAAGTCAAAGGTTACTCTTTTCAACTCTAAATACTACACTTTATGAGGCTTATTGATCACGGTTTTTATAAGAAAATCAAAAATGGGTCATCTAGGGTAAAAACTGTGTCACTCGGTCAAATTACTTAAAAAAAATTATGGAAAATCACGTTTTTAACTCCAATTCAATTAAATGTATGTAGGTCACCTCTTCCTTGTTTGATATTAACGTGAGAAGGTATAAGTTTTCGTTTATGTAACTTGGAAGGGATATTTCTCATGGCCAGAAGATGACTCCTACTGATTTTATGGTCAAAAGTCAAGGTTGCTGTGCTTTTTTAATCACTTGAAACTGGTTCTATAACTTACAAGAGAATGCTTTGGTCCAAACTTCTAAGTTTAAGTGTTCAGGGCTAGAAGATCCTATTAATTGTTAGGACAACAGGTCAAATCAAGTGACAGTGGCCTTGACCACTAAAAGCTTGTCTGCCTAACAACTAGAGAACGCTTTTGCCTACAGTCCTAAATTTTGTGTGGATGTTTTTCACGACTACTAAGTGGTCCCTATTGTTATGTCAGTGGATTAAAGGTCAAGCTTGTCTGTCTTTAAACTAGGGATGTTAATTATTTGTTAATACTTTGGCCAAAAGTCCTGAGACTTAATGAAAGATAATATGGCCAATCTTGACAAGTAGATTATAGCAAGGTCACCATGACCTTGACCACTGAAAGCTTATGAAGTTTTCACCCAAATTAATGATAAAAGGGTGTTCAGTGCAAACATGATTTTTAATACAGGTAATTTTTACAAAGAATGAAATATTTGAGAGAGATTTTCTTGTGAATTAAATGAATTGACTATAATTTGTGCTTAAATGGTAATTTTAAGTGACAAATCATTAGCCATTTCAGCTTGTGTCAGTTCAAGATATTATGACATGTATGCTTGCTGGATCATTGTCATTGTACAAATTTAGTCAACAGGGTGGGTAGTTATAGACGGTCTCCTACAATAGACGGTCTTCGACGGTCTCCAAAGACCATCGCAGACCGTGAGGGAGCCCGTCGATTAGTAGGTTATTACTTATAGACAAGCATTAGCACTCTTTTTGTTATCTTTAACTTTGTGTACTTTATGGTTATACATTCTCATTTTTTCAATTTATATGTTGCCAAGACAAAGGATATAACTATTTAGAAAATGAATAAAGGATTTTTTGCTATATACATGTGTTTTGTTGTTTTACCACCACAAACGAAGTTTAGGGGGGGGGGGGTTTCGCTAAATATGTGACGGCTCTACATTGGGTGTCCGTGGCCGATTGGTTTAGGTCGCTGATTTCAAACCGCTTGCCCCTTACTGTTGTGGGCCCCAATCCCGCTAGGTACTTTGGATTCTGTCATGTGAGAAAGCTATCCAGCTAGCTTAGGGAGCGTCGGTGGTTCTACTCGGGTGCCCATTCTTGACTGAAATAATGCAAGGAGGGGCATCTGAGGTCTTCGCTAGAACGTAGTCAAATGACTGGTGTTGTGCGACGTAAAACCAAATGGCAACAAGAAAAAAAAAGACACCGCAGCAATCGTCTTTTAGTTAAAATCTTTATCCGTATACCTTCAGCTAAGACATGTCGTTAAGTTGTTGTATTAGCGTCAATGCACTTTTTATTTTTGCTAAACGGTGTAATAGTGTACGTGAGAATTATTCTAAAATCTCAGTAGACCTTATCTTCTTAGACTTACACTTAGTAAAGCTTTTGATAATGTGAGTCATGAAAAACTTTTTTCAAAAATGCATAACAATGGTATGAGATGTCAGACACTTAATAAATGGGTAAAAAAAATCTTTTATGGCAGGCTCTATTCTGTAGTATTAGACGGATCCTCGTTTGAAACCATGATTATGTTATTTCTGGAGTCCCAAAGGGGTCGGTGCTCGGACCTCTTCTCTTTCTTGCATACATAAATGACATCACTGTTCATACAGGACGTCCAGTCAAAATTCCGTCTATTTGCTGTTGATACTGCTATATGCCAAACCAAAATATCAGGTCAGCAATCTGAAACCCTGCAGAAAGTACTTACATAGCTTAGAAAAGTTGGATTTGGACATTTAACCCATCCGAAGTATTCCTCGTCACAAAAAGTATGCATCATATATCAATTATTTATTCTTTTCATGGAACTACTTTAGAGGCGGTAACATTGGCCAAATACACGAGCGTGGATATATCACATGATCTTTTATAAACAAGCACATAAACAGTTCAAACCAAACGGGCAAGCCAAACCCTTGTTTTTTGCACCGTGATTAAAAGGTAACTCAAATCCACTTTAGGTCATGGCATATAAAACCCTTCTCATCATAACAGATTGCTAGACTGGTTTTACGTTTGATAAACCCTGTTTAATTTAAATGTGTATGATATTGTATATACATGTACCTCTTTTATTTTTCAAGTTACTCTTAACTTTTCTGGTAGCTTGACGCACAGACTATCTTCGCCTTCGCGAGGGGTTTTACACTTTATATTTACAGGGTAGCTAGATAGGTAGGTAGGTAAGTAGGTAGGTAGGTGATGAAACAACCTTGTCTTGCATGATAATACACAACAATGACCAGAAAATAATGATAACTATTGAAAACGTGCAAACAAGAATATAACTAAACTTTATTCACCAAAAGAAAGAAACAAATATAAATGATCTCTAACAAAAAATGTCTCTAACACAACATGCGACTACATATATTTATACCAGATTCTCGTGACAAACAAAATTCATCCTGTGACGTAAAAATTTGAAAACTATAAGTATTTTATACATATACGAATTTAAAACAAAACATACAAAACAGAGTTGATGAAGTATGATGACTGGTTCAAATGGAAATTAAAACTGCTTGCAGACTGTTCATGATCAACTGGTGTTTTATTTATCAACATAGTCAAAATTGAAGATCACGATCATCCGTCAGAATGAAGGCCTATCAAATATCTTGCCGTAGCACACTTATGACAATCAGTTGTGCCATTTGTTTCTGAAAATAAAGTACCATGAGATAATTAGATATTATTTAAAATCATTGCAGTTTTACATTTGATGTTTATTCAAATGCAACTGTAAGAGATGCATGTATTTCATAATTATCTTTCCTTGCTTGTTCAGTATTTACAGTACATGCAATCTTTGTAGACGACTTTACAGCAATATCATTTGTGCCAAAAGAAAGACTTAAAAATAAGTTTACCTATGTAGAGCAACACCACTCAGTAGCAACCAGAATCGTTGTCTGCCAGAGAGTGTTGTGTTTCTATACAGAGGCTATACAGTAATTTATTATTTTGTGTTCATCCTACTCATTTCAATAACAATAATACATTCCCAATTTCCTATCTTTGGTATGTATATGTGTGTTTTACATGTAATCATATATGTATAATATGTTTTCTAAAAGTCTGTTTTGTTTGGTGATCTTTTTTTTCTCCACATTTTTTGATTGTATAGGAAGTTAAACAAACATACTATTTTCCATATTGTAATCCTAAATTGATGATAAGAGAAGCTACCCATTCTGACCCCGCTTTCCCCATCAATTGGACTGCTTGTGAGAGGGCAAAAGTGAAACCTTCACGGTCTGCTGGTAAAAACTCTCCGTTATGGTAGCTACTTCCACAATTCCATCGCCAATTGATTACTTTACCTTAAAGAAAAGTTACTTTTTTAATTTTCGTTTAAGAAATCGAGATACAACATGTTGTAGTATTTAATTTTAAGTGTCGTGTCTTAAATGACTTTGATATCGATAATATGTGTCGGAAACTACATCATATGTAATACACAAAAAATTTGCTGACGAAATGCATGGTTGCATGGCGTTAGTCATCTATTTGATTTAACGCAAAATGTCTTTGAGTTTAAATTCATCAACAGATCACAATATCAATCTACATCTATGACATAGAAAGTAAAAAGAAAGTAATGACGCGAATAAGAAGAAATAAACCATTTAAACCGGGAGGAGCAATTGTTTATTCGTTGACCTACTTTTCCTATGGGTGCAATAAACGGTTAGTTAAACGCTGTTTAGAAGGCAGTTAGAAATCCTCAAAGACTAAAAGTGGGTTAAAAGGAATTAATGAATTTATTTGCAGTACGTAACACTTTGACAAAATATAACCTTAATATAAGTTAATAAGTAAGACATCTTAAAAATGCCGTCTTCGATTTTATTATCATATAAATGTTAGATTTATGAGTCCCTTTCGTACATTCTATTATTCCTAATTCATTTAACCAAACCGGGTCATTGTCTTGCGTGCAAACCCAATTAGATCCACTAGAAATACATCAATATATAATGCTCACAATTATTTTAGCAGAGTAAAGCTTGTGTTTAAGACATTTTAAGTTGTTTGTTTAAACATTTCATTGTAAAGAAAAAATATAAACAAATAAGTAATGAATGTCAGAAAGTCATGTATTATGTTACTTTTTAAAAAAAACAATTTCGACAAAAATGAGATTTGTGAAAAGATATATTAAAACATAGCACATATGAAAATTAAACACTTTAATAAAGTTTATCTAGTCCCTGTTGTGCTCAATAAGATTTTTTACACCATTAAAAATTAAAATGACTAGAGTAACGATCATTTATTTGAGATAATTCATTCAATGAAAAGATCTTTATATAAAAATATTAATTAGAAAAATATTTTTAAAACAAACCTCGGTTTACTTACCTTTTATTCGGACATGATGGACACTGAAAATTTTCTAGCTTTATCCACTTAACCATTCTCAAACGTGCATTCCTTCAATCATTAGTTTATCCGCTATCAAACTTTGAAGTGACAAGTTCTCCGACAATATTACATACATTATTTTTTACAACAGGTGGAAACACGGCGAGTAGTCACCTACAAATATTACTTCCTTTTGTAGAAAAATAGTCATTTCGTGTTTAAACCTTATTACGTACATTGTAAATTGCTTTAACTGAGCACTGATGACATTTACAAATTTACTCTAGTGTGGAATTATTATTTTATTCCTATTTAAGATATCAATATATACTTAAAAGATAAATCGACGTAAGTAAAAATCGCTCATCAAAACTACACCGAGTGTTATGGAACTGTTAACGTTTTACAAATCTAATAAAAGTAGTCCCTACTCTTTATATTTACGAAAATTGAGCCGGAATATAAACAAGTAGAAGTGAGTAACATTTCGTTATATTTAGCAATATTTCTGTATAACAAATATCCAAATTATTTTATTGTAGAAAGTTTGAACAGAAGTAAGTATCTTGGTATTTAACCTTAAAAACTGTGCATAATAATTCATCGATATAAATGGACATCATCATATTTTTAGATATTTATTCGAATATCTTGACGTTTTCATTCATTTGTCTATGCTTGTTATTTCATTGCCAGAATTTTTTATTGATAATAATTGATAAGAGTCAAATTAGAATGGTGCTCAATCATATTTATAGTTACGCATATTTGATACTTCATTTGAAGGCAAATAGAATTATTATTAATCAGTGTCAATTTTATTTAATAACATTAATTGATTCTGGAGTTATATAACATCTTAAAGTAATGAGCAAGAAAAGCGGCTCCAAAAAGACGCCAACACGTCGGAGCAAAGAAAGAAACAACTTTGAACAGATGGATACAGATGGATCAATGGATCGACACAAAGGCAGTATGTATGATGATGAAAGATGGCATGGTGCGTCTCAACATTATCACGCAGGCGCACACGCCCAAAAACAGCAACAGTTGCAGAGATCCGTTGAAGGTAAGCAATATTTGATATTCCCACTGTAATATGGCTTAAAGTCTAACAAACCTTATCCGTACTATTGGTTTATATGTTTCACTTTATCTTTGGTCGCAATATATATTTTCACGAATTCCATCGAGCATTTATTAAATTATTTTTTAAATCTTGGTTTTTAAATCTTGGATTAAGTTTAGGTAAAGCATGAAAATTAACATACTACTCCTCATCAATTTCTGAAATTTTGTACAATCTCAAGCAATGAAATCAGCTTCATGGAAATCAGAAACAATATGGCCTTGCTAACCTTGAATGTAACTTATCTGCCGTAGAAGTAAGCATAATTTTCAAATTGAACAACAGAATGCTGAAAACTAAGCTGGGAGACCCCCCCCCTAATCCCACCATGCTTTCGGTTAAAGTATTTCTATTTCTATGTTCTTAGATAGTGCAAGCTTAAAACAAATTTCTAGTATACAGGTATACAGTTTTCGTTGCCTGTACACACCTTTAAATCTGTATTTCGCGTATCAAGGAAATAATCCCATGAAACTATATATGTATAAAACTCTAAGACTATCCGATAAAAAGTATAAGAATCTTACACTGGCTGCTGGTACAGACCGGAATATCTAGCTCGAGGGTAACTGTTTACGGCGGTAACGAGGCTCTGCCGAGTTTCCGCTAAACATTTACCCGAGAGCTAGATATTCCCGTCTGCACTGACAGCCGGTGTTTGATTCTTTTTCTTGCATATTGCATATCAATTATTTTCAGAATAGAAATTACAAAACCGGATATTCTTATAACGCACTTTTTTCTTATAGTAGCGTATGATCTTACAACTTCATTCATAACGGTTAAGTGACGTCAGTCTTAGAACGCAATTTATTCATAAAAGGCTCGCGTCAATGACGTCATTTTAAAACACGCGACTTGTCTTACATGGGGGTGTAATATAGAGTTTTCTAGCACCGGTGAAAACGGTAGACAATCCTTTCTTGCATCTCAGACAGGATTATCTACCGTTTACACCGGTGCTAGTATATGTTATTTTGTAACGGCTCGGGTGATATAAAATCTTGCCAGGTAATATATCCACATATATCACTCCAAAACCAAAATAACAATTTTATTACCCTTCCCATGCCGAGTAAGATTTTAAAATAAATCATTGCTGTTTCAATTGTAACGTCGAAATAAGATTCCCTTTAGGGTACCTCTTCACCACAACACGACGTCACATAAATTCATGACGTATTTGCTTTCGTACCAAACGAATGTAAACAAGAGAAAAGGGGTAGTCTGTCGAAGACACTTTTTTGTTATTAATATCAAGCATTGGCGAGGCCATTTTTGTTTTCAATACTGATGAGAATATTCATCATTACTTTCTTTTGGTAAATATTTTTCATTTGACATTTAAATAGTGCTTGTATATCGGAATTTACACCGCGTAAAATCGAACCGTACGCGCATCGCCAACACGCATGTTGTTTACAACGTGGGGTACCAAACGGGTATATTTAGGTGTGTATATTACCCGTCTGGCTCGGTAATATCAATTTCTTTCGACGGATCAATATCCAATCAAAAAGGTGGAAAAAATCTGGAAGGGTAATAAAAAACTCTGTCTTACACCCCCCATGTAAGACAAGTCGCGTGCTTTAAATGACGTCATTGACGCGCGCCTTTTATGAATGAATCGCGTTCTTAGGATGACGTCATTTTTCCGTTATGAATGAAGTTGTAAGTTCATACGCTACCATAAGAAAAAAGTGCGTAATGAGAATATCAGTTCTCATAATTTCTGTTCCGAAAAAAATTGACATGTAATATGCAAGAAAAAGAATCAAACACCGGCTGTTGGTACAGACGGGAATATCTAGCTCTCGGGTAACTGTTTAGCGGAAACTCGGCAGAGCCTCGTTACCGCCGTAAACAGTTACCCTCGAGCTAGATATTCCGGTCTGTACCGGCAGCCGGTGTAAGATTCTTATAGTCTGATATGCAAGAATTTCCCACCTTTCCCATACCTATGATTATATCAACGATATAAGATTGTTATGAATAAATTTTAGTTTAATGACATTTATAAATCTAATAATATTTGAAATGGCAAAAGAACTTTCCCACTTAAGTCAAATATTGACGATCCAGGTACTAAGATGGGTGAAAAGACATATTCTTACAGTATTTGTCAATTTACAATGATAACACGATTTTATTTGTTTATTTTTGCACTTTACAGCAAGTAAGCAAATGTTGTATGGAGTTTTTGGCAATGTTATAACAATGCTTGAGGAGTATGAACAAAGGGAGCTTGCACAGTTTAAAATGCAGCATAATATGCCTAAGTCTGAAATCTACATTCCTGATCAGAGACATAAAACATTTGATGACGTAGGTATATAAATATACAACATAATGTATATAATACTGTCAAAAGACAAGGTACCTTTACACATTGATTTCAATATATTTATTAACACTGAAATTATTATACGTCATGCCGAGGAAATGAACATGAAAATGATTTCCTTTTGTAGAAAGGGTAAACATTTCTGGCATCTCAGACAGGATTATCTACCGTTTACACCGGTGCTAGAAAACTCTGTCTTACACCCCCATGTAAGACAAGTCGCGTGCTTTAAATGACGTCACTGACGCGCGACTTTTATGAATGAATCGCGTTCTTAGGATGACGTCATTTTCCCGTTATGAATGAAGTTGTATGTTCATACGCTACTATAATAAATAAGTGCGTAATGAGAATATCAGTTTTCATAATTTCTGTTCCGAAAAAAATTGACATGTAATATGCAAGAAAAAGAATCAAACACCGGCTGTTGGTACAGACGGGAATATCTAGCTCTCGGGTAACTGTTTAGCGGAAACTCGGCAGAGCCTCGTTACCGCTGTAAACAGTTACCCTCGAGCTAGATATTCCGGTCTGTAACGGCAGCCGGTGTAAGATTCTTATAGTGTACCATGGGTTTAGAATATGTGATATGCCTATTACCTGAAGAAAATAGTTGGGTGTGACACAATTCGTTTTCAAGTTAGCAAAATGCAATCAAAGTAATATTTTTGACTTTTATACACAAAATACTGAATTACTTGAAGAGTACTCATCGCCAAAATGCAAAAGAATCAAAAGAAGTGGTTCGGATATAAAGCCAATGGGTAACTGAAGTATTATTTCGACTTTCATACACAAACACTGAATTACGTTAAGCTTATTATTGCCAAAACGCAAAATATACATGTAGATAGGTATAAATTTCATGAGCCACTGTTTGGAAATTATAACAGGACATCAAAATTAAAAGAGGTTTGGACAATAGATTATTTTTCATTATCATTAGATAAAAAGCAATGTAGAGGTCCAGCTTCTTCTCTTTGAGACTCAAACGAAAGCTTGTCCACCCGAAGCATTAGCAGAGATTCACGAAGAGCTAAAACGCAGGACACTTGCTTGGTCTGCTGTTAGAGAAGAAATGGGTATAAGAGACATTCACCAAACAGACTACTACATAGCCAAGCTTTATGAAATCCTAGCTAAAGGAGGGACATTTCATCAACCGATTAATAGGTAAACATTCAACTATTTTCCTGATGAAGCTTATCTATAAAACAACAAATATATGAATTGATTATTTGTTTCAGGTTGTTTTCTTTACAGTTCATTGTTCAGTTCTATACGAATATGATATTTACTCAATGATGGTTTTGAGAATTAGTATCAAACAATACCAAAAGATATGTCAAAACGTGTTATATCGGTCATTGGCTGATAAACAGATGAAAACCATTCAAATTAAAAAATATTTAACATTTTTACAAACAGTGAAGGGGTGACTGAAGAAGTAATGAAAGAGGGATTTCAAGCAATGATTAATGGTGAACACGATCGTGCAGTACTGGATAGAGAGTTTAAAACCAACCCTGATAAAGTGGCAGTTGGTCCTGTGACAAGAAGTAGTGAAATGATACATGAGGGTAAGTTTACATGCGAGGCATTTCCATAATGTTGTTTTGGGCTTTCTTTAGGGATTCCATTTTCTCTATTCTGTTGGAGTAATGATTCTATTGAGAGAACCAAGAAAAATATATAAAATATAAATATTCATTTTTAGTTGACATCTATGGTACAGTTATATGGCGTTAAATGTTGCTACACTAAAATGTCGGTACCATAACAAAATGTCACACAGTTTTCAACAGTTAAATGTCTCGATTTTTTTGTGCCGCTAAATGTTGCATTTTAAAAACCAACTTCAAAATAGACTGTGAGATTGAATTTTGTCTTGGGCACTAATGATCTACATGCCAGGGACGATATTGAAAATTGCTACTCTGGTATAATACAGAGTGACTGATTGACCTGGTTTACATAAATTAACATATGGTTTTGTATGTCGTACTGATTGTGAGCATTTGATCTAGAAATAGATAGAAACGGCGGGTCTAAATTTTCATTTCTAAAACTGGTTCATTAGCATAGAGTCATTAGCTTGTTCTAAGACCATGCAGGGATATTTGAAGCGCAAATATTTTTCATTGATGACATTAGATTAAATGTGAATTATTTTATATTGAAATAAAATTTTGCAAAGGACCGCCAAAATTATGTCATATACATGTTTTATAATTATGACAAAAATGATGCTTTTTCTATTACTATGTTATTCTTTGAGCAGCATAAATTGATGATAACGTTGTTATATGCACTGAATTGTGTCTAAACAGTCGGTACACGGATATACAGTCAAATTTATGTTTTGTTTCGCCGAAAGAGTTCTATATTGGTTGAATTATTCATTAACCGAAACTAGTTTTACTTTCACTTAAGATGTATTTTACCAAAATATTAGACAGTTTAGAGAAAAACATACTAAATTATTCAGCTGTCGCCACCCAGTCTAAATATGGCAAATATCTCGTTCTATCTTTCCGCTTTCCAGTTTTAAGTTCAAATAATGATTTGTAATTTAACAACATGAGTATTTTCTCATGGAATATATAATAATTTAAATAAATTTGTAATTGACATTCACATAAATATTAAATAAACTCATAATAAGTTAAAGTTTATAATTTGCATGCTATTTAAAACATTAACACATAAAAGTCGCGATGAAGCGTAACCCTGGTTCTCGTAAAGATATACTGATATAACATTAAAGCCATACAAAACAGAACATTATTTTCTTATTTAATGCATGGTTTGCAATTTGAATTAACTTAAACATATTACATTTCAAAGAATAGTAATAATGTATAAACACGCTGAAGTTTGAGAGTGTATGTGCAACCATTTGGTTATGGTCTTAAAATAAAACCCAGTCAGTCGAAAATTTTAGAAAAACATTTACGACACTTAAACATTCTGAAACTCTATACTTTACTGTAAACATTAAGAGAGTCTTTTTTAAATCATGCAAATATTTATTTCAAATAAAATGTCATGATCAAACAAACTTTTTGCTATTTACAAACCCATACAATGCGTCTTTCCTTATTTATTTTGATCAATTACACTGTTTTGTTTATCATTGCGCATTAGTAATTACCTTGATAACAATTACATCTTTCTATGTTTCGAAAACATTTCTCTCCGCACTGAGTTCATAATAGGTAGATATGACCAAAAAAAAAATCACAAACCAACAGAGTTTATCAAAACATGTTTTGCTTTAATGAGCTTCATCACTTGCTCCCATTCAACTGCCACGTAAACAGTGAAGTGGTATATTTATGAGAATGATGCTAAGTATAGGTTAGTGTTTATTATCTGTCTTATCTGTGATACGCAGGCTTCATAACCTCTGATCCCCTTTCAAAATTCCATTTTATTTAGTTCCGCCCATTGTTTTCTCGTTTAGGGCACACGCTTTTTATTACTTGGGGACCATACGCCGCTTTTTATGGAATGACACTACTGTGTCACATTGAAGGTTCCATGAAAACCGCCGTATGAACACATCTGCGGATGTTTTAAAATTCAAAATGTCACCATTTCAGTGTTTAAATGTTGAATTCTGCTTAAGCCGTTGCTAGGGGGCGTGGACGGTAACTTGCACTTTCCAGTACCGTCCATGAACAGGCTCAATCAAACCGAGCCTGCAACATTTTCAATTTTGCCGTGTTGGGCTGTCTTTAGGGATTCTGTATTTATCTATTTTATTAGTAAACATTTACAAAATTAAATTGTTCAAGAATCGATTAATTTAAGAGGCACATTATGCCTCAGAAATTCATATTTTTCAGGTTTTTTAGAAACATTAAACATAAATTTAATAATATTTCAAAAATCGTTAAGAAGCATGTTTCATATTTAACAAGTGAAGAGGTAGCACAGCACATGGAGTAATGTATCGTAAAGGTAGCAAATTGTAAAAACAAAGTAGCATTTTGACTTTATTCAGTATAATTTTACCAATTGCCAACATAACAAAGATACAATATGTGTAAGGCAAATGAGTTTGGTTTTTTTTAATTGTAAAAAGATACCAAAAATAAAACAGTTTTTGAGAAATAAAAATGATAGCATTGCACAATGGGCCTTTAATGTAGTAAATGTTTACTAATAAACACTAACCAATTTAGTTTAAATTTAAACTTACTTTTATAAAGCTATAGATTTACTAGACTGATAACATTTATTCGATTTACAAAAGTAAATGTGTAATAAATCATGTGAAATATTATAATTTTTTGCAAAACTAATTTCAAACACTACATTCTGTTTAAGTGAAAAATATGAACTTACTAATAGGATATCACTGTAATTAATCATAACAACTATTACAAATTTCAAAGGTAAAAAGATATCTGTCTTTAATCATATTTGTAAATTTAGTGCTCTGCCCTAGAAGGAATAGTGTATAAATCATTTCAGCTGAATATGACAACCACTTCTTCAATGTAATATACATGTACCTGTTTTAAAATATTCTAGTTTTTGATAAATGAGGAAGATAGTTCAGGAAGTTGATTATTTTAGCATTTCATTATGAATACCAAAAAAATCTTTCTTTGAAAACAAATGAATCGAGATGTTGTTTATGTTATAAAGTTTACATGTAGGAGTAGAGCCGGACAGTGATAAATGGCTCTGAATAGGGCATTAACAATGAACCTTGTACTGGGGCATTTCTTTTAGTATTCATTTTAAAGCGGACCCGAATCCCTCAGGTCTAGATCCCCGTTGAATAAAAAACAAAACAACAAAAACAGAAAACAATTATGACTAGGTGTTCAGCATCAATTTTAATTCTGAAATCTAAATATTTTAAATATCACAAATCTGTAAGTAAACGTTATTGTAAGAAAATGATGAGTACAGGACTAAATATGATTTTGTCCACAAACAAATATTGTAGGTTTTTCATTTAATACATTTGCTTTTGTTTTATTTGCAACTCAAACCTGCGACATTTAGACTGCTTTGATAACAGACATACGTATGGTGTATCACTCTCGTAGCTCTTTGGCATACATTATTGTCAGCATGATAATTGTATCTTAACAGTTCTATAGTTTTTTTTTCCAATACAAGCAAACACGCAATTACCAGATATATAATTGGTCCCCATTATCCACGAAATGAGTTTATATATTTACACCATATTTAAAAGTACTTCAAAATAATTCATATATCTATCATTTACTTAATCTGAAAGTAAGATTTGCGACTTTATACGTGGGGTATGTGACATTTAGCGACAGTTAGAAGTTTTAACTCGTGCGAAATTCAACTGTAACATTGCGACATTTAGCGGCGGTAAAAATACTGCGACATTTGATGTATCTTTCATAATTAAGATGTTCAAGAGAAATTATATAGATGATTTTATGACTAAATTTGAATAGATATCTTTATCGGTTAAGTGTTTAATTATCTTTTCAATTAATAACTGTACTATTCCATATGTGATATCGTAATGTAAAAACCTTCAATTTCAAAACACGGATTGTGAGGTATACAAACATTACATTAAACTGTTAATAAAAGTGTTTTTATTAACTTTATTATATATTTGTAGGAGCAAACAGAATATCTCGGGCTCGAGGAGATCAAGACCTTGACAGATCGCTCAAAGAAGATATCCAGAGAATTGAACGCAATGGTCCAGAAGATATAAAATAAACGATAAACAATCATATTTGATGTGAAGTTTACACATAGGCATAAACAGAATATAAATGAATAACTATATTTATTTTGATTAAAAACGCTATGGTTCTCTTAAAATTAATTGATCAAATTGTTGATAACGAGAAGAACACTAATCTTATTTCTTATTTGTAATGAAAAAATCAATAGTTTTGTACAATTATGATGTTATTATATTTGTTTATTATATCATGATGTAAAATTAGGAAATAGATTCTGAGTGCATTGTTGTAGAATAGTTCAAATGCGTAGTAATATAATCACGAAGGCCGATAGGCCTGAGTGATTAATTACAAAGCATTTGAACGGAAAACGTGCATTATTATACAATAATGCACGAAGAATTAATATCTATTTCAATTCTAACACGTCAAGAAAAAATATAATTATTATTATAAAGTTGGACTTTATGTTTGGTGGTTAAATTTTTTTTCGCCTTAGAGTTTCCAATAGAAACGTTCTTTAAAGGCTGTTCCAGTGGGTTGATAAAAACTGTCGTTAAATCTACCGTGTGTAGAAACATTTTGAGAATAACGAATTTTGAAAACGTTGATAAAACTTTGTTTGTTTATTTTATTTCACTCTATAATTTTTCAAGCGAAATACAAATTATTGAAAGTGAATTAAATGTAAAAATTAACTCGTTTGCGACATTAAAATAGCGTACTAGATTTGATTGTTTTGCACGTGCTGTTTGGCGCTACATTGTGACGTCACGTAAACAACACTTTAAACGTCTGTACAGCGTTAACGACTGAATTAAAGATATTGGTGTTCGGATTCATTTTCTTAGTTAGACCATTTTCTTTCATTCTAGATAGTTTTCACAACAAAATTCCACAAAAAATTGTTTTTAATTTATCAGATTTTTCAAACAAAATGGTGCCCTCAATATGAAAATACACAGGGAGATATCAAGAACGGCGAGTGCATTGTAGAAAAATGGGATTTAGCTCAATACAGGATTGGAGCAGTACCTCCAGACGCTTGCAGAAATCATGATCGCAAAATAGACAAATATCGTTTTTTTCGCCGAATTTTACATTTTTTTCCTTGATTATCGTACTTGATTCGGTGTGAAAAGATGAATTAGACCTGTTAAAGTTCATTCCGTTGGGTAAAAAGACAAGATTTTAGCATTTTATCATTCAAGCGCCTTGTCCGGTATATACCGGAATACGGTATTTAGTGTGGTGCTCCAATCCTTTTTTTAGTCACAGCCGAAAAATGCACGCTTCGGGCCTTCTTTGTTTATATAGAAAAAATTCCGATAGTGTTAGAATGTTCTTTTAATGTTGCTTTACTGTTATCAGTAATGATACTTCAAGTATATACATGATATAGTCTCTTATAATTCTGTTGTAGAATGGTCATTTGTACTTTTTTATCAATTTTAATATGTTTTATGTATATATGTATGCATATGAAAGAGACTGAAATAAACTAATGAACTATCAGTCATTAAAATATTAAGGTCACTAATTACAGTTTTCTTTTCTATTTAATTTATTCGCCGACTTTTCAGGGTTATGTTACATGCCCTCCAGTTTTTTTTTCAAAACAAGACATATTAAGAGTTTTCATAACAATTAAAGAAAGGTTCTCTAATTTGTGCTAGGGGGCTTGGACGACAGCTTGCACTTTCTAGTACCGTCCATGAACAGGCTATATAAAACAAAGCCTGCAAATTTTTCGATTTTGTTGTTTTGTGCGATCTTTAGGGATTCTGTTTTTCTCTATTTTATTTTGTTATTGCTGACATCAACGTAAAACACCTATAAAAGATAATTATTGTGTTTCCTTTTTCATTCCTGGAATATAACTTTATAAGCCCATTGAAAATATGATCACGCAACATATATATACATAAGCTGTATCAATGTACTTGATGAAATTTATATCCTTCTTGTATATCATCTAAAAATTAAAAAAAACTTAGGCTAGAAATATAAAACTTTCATAAATTATTAAATAAAAAAAATAGTTTAATATAAGGGCAGGCATATCATTTTCCGAAATTGTTTTTTGAAATGGGAAAAAATCGAAAAGTACAAATTCCCAATATGCCCGACAGACTTGTAAAGATAATGTAAAGTATTTTATAATTTAAAGTATTCTGGTCTACTATTTTGAATACATTTACAAAATGTATATTATAATATTGTAAACAAGGATGTACGAGCTATGAACCGAATAAAAGGAAGAAATGCAAAGTACTTTTAATTACAAAAACAGCCTTTTCTTCGAAATCTTTATATTAACCGAAACCGAAACTGTATTATATATTGTCAAGTCAGAAAAAGACATTTTTCGGCCGAAGGCCGTCTGATTTCACATTGACTTCCACTTAAATTAACAGTAAAGAAATAAATATAGGCAGAATTTTCATTGGTCATTTTAACACTAATAGCCTGTTCCATTGAGATTCCGTTATAGGTAGAGTTCTTTCAATTGTTCGATTGCTCGATGGCAAGAACTGTTGGAAGAAGAGCCTCGTTACCGCTGTAAACAGTTACCCTCGAGCTAGATATTCCGGTCTGTAACGGCAGCCGGTGTAAGATTCTTATAGTGTACCATGGTTTAGAATATGTGATATGCCTATTACCTGAAGAAAATAGTTGGGTGTGACACAATTCGTTTTCAAGTTAGCAAAATGCAATCAAAGTAATATTTTTGACTTTTATACACAAAATACTGAATTACTTGAAGAGTACTCATCGCCAAAATGCAAAAGAATCAAAAGAAGTGGTTCGGATATAAAGCCAATGGGTAACTGAAGTATTATTTCGACTTCCATACACAAACACTGAATTACGTTAAGCTTATTATTGCCAAAACGCAAAATATACATGTAGATAGGTATAAATTTCATGAGCCACTGTTTGGAAATTATAACAGGACATCAAAATTAAAAGAGGTTTGAACAATAGATTATTTTTCATTATCATTAGATAAAAAGCAATGCAGAGGTCCAGCTTCTTCTCTTTGAGACTCAAACGAAAGCTTGTCCACCCGAAGCATTAGCAGAAATTCACGAAGAGCTAAAACGCAGGACACTTGCTTGGTCTGCTGTTAGAGAAGAAATGCGTATAAGAGACATTCACCAAACGGACTATTACATAGCCAAGCTTTATGAAATCCTAGCTAAAGGAGGGACATTTCATCAACCGATTAATAGGTAAATATTCAACTATTTTCCTAAAGAAGCTAATCTATAAAAACAAATATATAAAATGATTAAATGATTATTTGTTTCATGTTGTTTTTTTTTATTTAATTGTTCAGTTCTATACGAATATGATAATACTCAATGCTGGTTTTGAGAATTAGTATCGAACGATACCAAAAGATATGTCAAATCGGATTATATCGGTCATTGTCTGATGCAAGCCATTCAAATTCAGAATATTTAACTTTTTTCCAAACAGTGAAGGGGTGACTGAAGAAGTAATGAAAGAGGGATTTCAAGCAATGATTAATGGTGAACACGATCGTGCGGTACTGGATAGAGAGTTTAAAACCAACCCTGATAAAGAGGCAGTTTGTCCTGTGACAAGAAGTAGTGAAATGATACATGAGGGTAAGTAAAGTGACGGCATTTACATGTGAGGCAGCAACATTTCCATAATGTTGTTTTGGGCTTTCTTTAGGGATTCCATTTTCTCTATTCTGTTGGAGTTATGATTCTATTGAACCAAGAAAAATATTTAAAAAAATAAATATTCATTTTGAGTTGACATCTGTGGTACCGTTACATGTCGTTAAATAATGGTACACTAAAATGTCGGGACCACAACAAAATGTCACACAGTTTTCAACATTTAAATGTCTCGATTTTTCTATGTCGCTAAATGTTAAAATAAAGACATTTTTTAGAAACCAACTTCAAAATAGACTGTGAGATTGTTATACAAATGATTTTTGTCTTGGGCACTAATGATCTACGTGTCAGGGACGAGATTGAAAATTGCTACACTGGTATTATACTTAGTGACTGATTGACCTGGTTTACATAAATTAACTTATATTCCCGCTGACAAATAACTTACAATTAGTCACTAAAACGCTGTAAACATACGATAGTTTGCTATAAAAAATATTTTTGAACTGCTTAAAATCTGTTATGAATTTCTTTTTAGCGTTTATGAGTCTGAATAGCCATATAACTTTTTTTAAACATTTTTTTTTGCTATTTTTAAATGGTAATCACTGTCAACAGTCACTGTATTATAGTAACTACTGAATATGAAGTTTGAGAGTGTATGTGCAACCATTTCAATTTTGGTTATGGTCTTAAAGTAAACCCAGTCAGTCGAAAATTTTAGAAAAAAAAAACAACATTTACGATACTCAAACATTCTCAAACTCTATACTTTACTGTAAACAGTAAGAGGGTCTGTTTGTCTTGCTTACATTAAGTCTTCCTTTTTTAAGCATGCAAACATTTCAAATAAAATGTCATGATCAAATAAACTGTTTGCTATTTACAAACCCATACAATGCCCAAGGACATTGCGTCTTTCCTTATTTATTTTGATCAATTATACTGTTTTCTTTATCATTGCGTATTAGCAATTACCTTGAAAAAAATTACCATTATCTATGTTTTGAAAACTTTTCGCTCCGCACTATGTTCATAATAGGTAGATATGACAAAAAGAATCACAAACCAAAAAAGTTTATCAAAACATGTTTTGCTTTAATGAGCTTCCTCAGTTCCCATTCAACTGCCATGTAAATTTTGGACAAAACTATTTTCAAACACTATACATTCTGTTAGCAAGCATTTACTAATAGGCTTGCAGTGTAATTAATCATAACCGCTATTATAAACTTCATAGGTAAAAAGATATCTGTCTTCAATCATATTTATAAATTTGGCGTTCTGCCCTAGAAGGAATATTGGTACGCCAAAACTTGTATAATCATTTCAGCTGAATAAGACTACCACTTCTTCAAATAAATTTAGATATATAATATATCTGTTTCAAAATATTTTAATCATTGATAAATGAGGAAGATAATTCCGGAAGTTGGTTATTTTAGTATTTCGTTGTACAAACCAACACATCTTTCTTTGAAAACAAATAAATCGACATATGTTTTATGTTATAAAGTATACATGTAGAAGTCGAGTCGGACAGTGATAAATGGCTCTGAATAGGACATTGACATCGATCCTTGTACGGGGGGGGCATTACTTCTAGTATTCATTTTGAAGCGGATTGATAAAAACCATTTCGACCCGAATCTCTCAGGTGTACATCCCCATTGAATAAAAAACAAAACAACAAAAAACAGAAAACAATTATGACTAGGTGTTCAGCATCAATTTTATTTCTGAAATCGATTTTTTTGAATATCACAATTCGTAAGTAAACGTTATTGTAAGAAAATGATGAGCACAAGATATTAATGACAACTAAATATGTTCTTGTCCACAAACAAATATTGTAGTATTTTCTTTAGATACATTTGCGGTTGCTTTATTTGCAACTCAAGCCTGCGACATCCAGACTGCTTCAATAACAGACACACGTATGTTGTATCACTCTAGTAGCTCTTTGGAAAACATTATGGTCAGCATGATATTTGCATCTTAACAGTTCAACGGTTACTCTTTTAGTAAAAGCAAACACGCAACTACCAGATAGATAAATGGTACCCATTATCCAAGAAATGAATTCATATCACTTACACATAATTAATTAATACTACTTCAAAATAATTCATTTATCTACCCTGAACTTCATCTGAAAGTAAAATTTGCGACGTTATACGATGGGTATGCGACATTTAGCGGCAGATAAAAGTTTTAACTCGTGCGAAATTCAACTGTAACATTGCGACATTTAGCGGCGGTAAAAATACTGCGACTTTTGATGTATTTTTCATAATAAAGATGTTCAAGAGAAATTATATAGATGATTTTATGACTAGCAATAATTTAATTCAATTTGAATAGATATCTTAATCGGTTAAGTGTTTAATTATCTTTTCAATTAATAACTGTACTATTCCATATGTGATATCGTAATGTAAAAACCTTCAATTTCAAAACACGGATTGTGAGGTGTACAAACATTACATTAAACTGTTAGTAAAAGTGTTTTTTATTAACTTTAATATATATTTGCAGGAGCAAACAGAATATCTCGGGCTCGAGGGGATCAAGATCTTGACAGATTTCTCAAAGAAGATATCCACAGAATTGAACGCAATGGCCCAGAAGATATAAAATAAACGATAAACAATCATATTTGATGTGAAGTTTACACATAGACATATACAGAATATAAATGAAAAACTATATATATATTTTGATTATACTCGCTATGGTTCTCGATAACGAGAAGAACACTAATCTTATTTTTTTATTTGCATTGAAAAAATTCAATAGTTTTGTACATGCCGATACATGTTGTATTTGTATATATGAGTCATTAAAATATGAAGGTCACTAATTACAGTTTTCTTTTCTATATAATTTATTCACCGACTTTTCATGCCCTCAAAAAAAAAAAAAAAAAAAAAAAAAAAAAAAAAACACACACACACACACACACAGACACAATTTGCAAGCTTCTTTAAGACTTTTCATAACAATTGAAGATGGGTTCTCTAATTTGTGCCAGGGGCGCGGACGGTATTTTGCACTTTCCGATATCGTCCATGAACAGGCTCAATCAAACAAAGCCTGCAATTTTTCAGTTTTGTTGTTTTGGGATTCTTTATGGGTTCTGTTTCTCTCTATTTTATTTTGTTATTGCAGGTATCAAAAATAATGGAAATTGCTTCAATTATGTCTAGTATTTGAAAGTTAAGCAAGACCAGGTCTTCGAGAACTTGAGATTTATCAGAAACGTTATTTTTATTTGTTTGGGTCGTCAGACCAAACAAATAATGGTAGCGAAATTTCAGACCCTGATGTTCTTATTTGCAAATGCCGAAAGTAGTCCAAACTCCTCGAAGCAGTTACTTCCACTCATATGTACATCAACGCCGAAAAATTAAGAGAAGATCACTGCGTAAAGATTGTCAAATGACAGGCGCATTCATTTTCGTAACGTTTCCGATTTCTCGAAGATTTCTAATATTGTGTTATTCTTATAGATATACATGCTAATATTCAGCCCCATGATTATTTAAATCAGTGTAAAACAACAGGTTTACTGTGAACAAAATATATCGAAATTAAAATTACTTAATAAGTTACAAACTCTAATTTAGAATAGGGAAACGGACAAAAGCCCTCCCGGACAAAAGACCCCCCGTCCAAAAATGACAGGGCGGACAAAAGCCCTCCCGTGAAAATGACAAGGCGGACAAAAGCCCTCCCGTGAAAATGACAGGGCGGACAAAAGCCCTCCCGTGAAAATGACAGGGCGGACAAAAGCCCTCCCGTGAAAATGACTGGGCGGACAAAAGCCCTCCCGTGAAATTAACAAGGCGCTTTGGAAGCGAGAGGTCTGAAGTTCAAATCCCAGTATACACAAAATCATGTTTTTTTCTCGTTTTTTTTCCTTTTTTTTCTTTAAATTGTTTAAGCCAAATATACATTGAATTGAATATCAGTGTTGCAATTAGTCTTATAGCCAATTTACTATAGTTATAAAACAGCATTGGTGACACTTTACAAACAACTTGGTTTATAATCTCACAACCGTTACCTTTCTGACATTCTGAGACACAAACAAATTCAGCGCCTTCTGTGCTTTGATTATAGTTTTATGGCCATGTTATTGTTATTACTATTATCATTATTATTCGTACAAGATTCATATATACAGTGCGTATATAAATATACAAAATTTTGATTTAAAAATAAAGATATACATGTAAATAACAAATGGAAAAATTTACATGTCTTTACGCAAAATAAATTAAGGGGAAACAAAACTATTGCATATATTCTGAAGTGTATGGTGCATAACTATTGTTAGACTGAAGTTTTAAATGTATATAAATGTATAGAATATCACGTTTACAATGAACTCTAAATATATTTTACGAGACATCAACTTTGAACTTGATCCATTTTATAAAATCATTTTGATGTACGCAAAAGAAAAGTCTAATTCACTAAAGAAGTTTTAAGTAATAATTATTTCAATATTAAGGAAAGTAAATGAATATATATGGGAAAATAACTTTTATAACTTAAGAATAAGTAGAGTGGAACTGCCAAAAGCAAATCAAGCAATGGAATCTTAAACGAAACGAAATAATAAAAGCGATTTAGATGTGTTTAAGCAATGTAAATGTGTTGATATCTTTAATAAAAATGCATAACTGTGCAAAGGCAACTCTCAAACTTCTTCATATTACAATATTATGAATATCTATTATCTGCATTGCCCATAATAAAATTAAACAATTGTGAATAGTTAGTGCACGAATAGTATAAGATAATTATGAAGATAAGATGCCGGAAATGGTCTGATACAACAGTCTCTTTGTATCATCCTATAAGATTTTGCAAAACTTTGAGGTAGAACAAAATCCTTTTTTACAACATTTTAAGTTTTGAAGAATGTCATAAATTGTCAAAATTCATGTCTTTTTTGTATTTTATAGTGAAGTTAATGGTCATTGTTAAAGATTCTGAATTTTCAAAGCATATTATCAATGGTGGATTGATAAACAAATGCGGTACAAAAATATCCTAAACTCTGAGACAAAAAAGGAAGACACAAATGTAATAGAGTTCAATAAAATAAGTTATGCACTCTCGACTTGAAATAAGAGATGATGCTAATAAACAAGATGTTTCAGTTTAAGAATAATTTTTCGTTTGGATAAATGACAAAGATAAAAAGTACAATAATTAATTTTCAACAGTAGGACACCTATGCCTGGCGGCAGACGTACAGAAATGAAGGTGCTAAAGACAAATGACATGGTCATCATTATGAGATCTATTTTTATAAGGAATGAGTGTAACTTCTGAAAACCGAACACCTGTGGGACTAGCCAAAAAGTTCGGAATTTGCAAGTTTCCGGAATTCAGAAGTTTGGAATTATGTGAACAAGTAGAAGCATTAGGTTAACATTGAACATCAATTTTTTTAAGCCATGGTGAAAAATTTAGGAAGCTTATTAAATTAATAAAATGGCAAAATTACAGGACTTTTAAAAGTTATAACTACATTGTATATTAAATTTCATTATCACTTTTAACTGAATTAGTTGATAAAAAAGAGCATATTTTCATGTTGTACCAGCTATATGTAAACTGTATATTTTGTTTTTGTTTTTCATCACAATATCCTCATTTTTTATTTTTCACACTTTAATCAAGTGTTGACATGGGTGACAGGTTGTGGTTGTAATAAGTGTCAAGATAAAAGGTTTCTGCTAATTGGAATATACTAAAGGTTTTACAATCTCAATCATAATATAATCATATCAATGGTAAAATTTTAAATATATTCAAAGCTATGTATTCAGTTGTAAAATCTTGTGTAAAACATTGTAATACATTTTCCGACTTCTTCAATATATCGGTAGGCTTAAGGCAGAGACAAAATAATTCTCCGGCACTTTTCGCATTAGTTTTAGAGGAACTTGAATTATTTTTACAAAACCGAATGGATTGTGGTCTTAATATTTATGAATTATGTATTATTGTTTTATTGTTTGCCGATGATATGGTGATAGTTGGCAGATCACAAGAAGACTTACAAAAAACGCTAAATACATTGTATGATTATTGCAATAAATGGGGACTTGAGGTCAATACGGACAAAACCAAAATTGTTGTTTTCCGTAAAAGGGGACAGGTCAAATTAAGTGAAAAATGGTATTATAATGGGAAACATATTGAAGTTGTAAACGATTTTAATTATCTAGGGGTTGTTTTTAATTATACAGGTTCTTTTGTTTTAAATACGCAGTGCTTAGTAGGGAAAGGTTTAAAAGCTATGAGCATTTTATTGAATTAGATAAACAAATTTCATTTAAATCCTCATGTTTCACACAATTATTCGATGCCTTTGTTGGCATGCATGCCCGGTTTGCGGTTTTACTAAATCTAAAGATATAGAAAGGGTACACCTTAAGTTTTGCAAGTAAAACAATGTGCTAGTAATAATACAGTGTATGGCGAATTAGGTAGATACCCCTAATATATCAACAGATACGTACAAATCATTAAATTTTGGCTTAAGCTTGTAAAAACGGATAATATTATACTGAAAGAAATTTTTGGATGTAATTCCTTCTGGTAGAAAAGCCATTGAACATTGCCACAAAACAAACATTTAAAGAACATTCGCATAGCCTGTTTCCTCTTTCATGAGATCTGTGTCAATATTTACATTGATAGTTTCATTACTAAATATAATCATGTTAATTGATATTAACAACGAAGAAAAATCAACAAAATAATTATAAATTAAAATATCGTATTTTTGACAATTATTTACTTAATTTTTATTAACCGTGACCAATTAGAAATTTTTGGCTTTGAAAGGGTAAATAAAAGCTCAAATTTCAATTTAATATTTATAGTATTGAACTTTCTTAGTTATGACGTAATCTAATTTTGCTAATAAGAACTTTCTTCGTTGTTTAAGGTTGAGAGATGGTATTTGTGCAGACGATCGGGTGGAAATGATACCGGAAGTAATTGATAAAAATGGTGCATAATAATATTGTAACCAAGGATGTACGTGCTATGAACCGAACATTTTATTAATCTAAGGAAGTAATTAAATGTACTTTTAATTACAATAAAACAGCCTTTCTTTGAAATCTTTATATTAACCGAAACCGAAACTGTGTTATATATTGTCAAAAGTCATAAAAAAGACATTTTTTTTTAAATTAAACTCGGGTGTAGACCCGAGTTTAATTTAAAAAAAAATGTCTTTTAAAGTAATAAAGACTTCGTGATCATATTTTCGATGAACTTATAAGGGTAATACCAGGCATGATTAAGGGAACACAATAATTATCTTCTATAGGTGTTTTACGTTGACCTACAAGAAGTACACGAATCTATATGCAAAAACCGTAAACAGATATTCAAAGTCAAAATGCAATTACAAAGTAGCTGTAATAGTAATATTTCTATACTAGCATAAATTAATATGGTTCAATTCTCTTGAATGATGTCATAATGACTCTAATATGACAATGTTAATATCGTTATATTGTACATTTTTACTCTACTCGTATACTAAGAAAGCTACAACAATTTTCCAAACTTATTTCTCCATGCTATGATAAATTAAAGCATAAAATGTTTTCAATTTTTGATAATAAATGACTGCTAAATATCCAACCTAAAGCTCTAATACCATTTAAAATTTATTGTTGAATACATTTATTGAACAAATTTTATTATTCTATGCTTAAACTTTA